CCTCGTGAGATACCAATGAGAAGAGTGGAATATATAACTTTGAGCCTTGTTAAGAGGAGTAGAGAAAGGCCTACGAGAACACTTTTAGAAGTTGTTGAACGCGATCTTTCGATTAATAATATTTTTAAAAACTTGATAAATGATAGAATACAATGGCGTCTTGCAATTCATATAACTGATCTCACCTAATGGGATAAAGGCTTGTTATTGTTGTTGCTGTATCCTTTATGAGTAGGAAAATTTTATTTGTAAAACATGCTTAAATCAATACCCCCCCCCCCAAATGATCATTTGCATCCCATCAGAGCATATTAAACTTTCAATGATTACTCATTACATGGACATCAGAAACAAATGAGAGATATCAAGGGAAATAACAGAGTTTTCTGCAATCTTGCCACATCAACCTTCTCGCAGAATTTAATAGACATGGATGCAAATATTTACGTTAGATAAATGAAATACAAGAAAATCTAAATATCTAAATAGTTGGGGACAAAAGATTGAATGCTACCTTGAATGATTTAGATCGAGGGATCGAAGGATCTATATCTATAGATGCCAAATATGACTTTTCTGCTGAATCGAATTGCTTTAATTCCAAAAATGCATCACCTTGGCAAAGATAAGCCTGAAAAGTAGTTCACAAGATCTATTTCAGTGACATGCTCCTAAACCATGAAAGTAAATTTGATTTTGGCAGAAACAGTGAGATGATAAATTAATAAATTAAATCCACATAAAAAATTATTTTATTGGGTAAAACAAAAACACACCAAAGTTAAAACAAACATATTCAAACAGATGTTATCACTATATATATTCAAACTGATGGTAGACAAGTAAACTAATGGTTAGAATATCAGGGCCGTTACAAAAACAAACAATTCATATCCTGACTAATTGAGATAAGATCCTGAATATTGTTATAATTCTAAACTATAAAGGGCAGTATCCCTTTGATGAAAAGATTTATGAAGCTTTTGGCAGAAGTCAAAACAAAAATACTTGTTGTCACTCAAAACTTCACCAAGTCGACTGTAATTCCAATATTGCTACCGCAATCATGTTGATACCTAAGGACTGATCTCTTGGCTCGCCATCATCATCTCTACATGAATACTTTAAGTAGAAGATCTGATCCATCGAAGAAGATTTTATAGGGTATGCACAAATTAAACTCCTCATGCTGCTTACGAAGATTGAGCATTTCAAATGCATCAATAGCCAAGATGCACAAGTTTCAACTTTAAAAGAACACCGTATTGCTCAACAAATAGCATTCATGATATCTTAATGCATAATTGCAAGTTATGACTGTGCGGGGATTGGAAAGGAATACAAATTGATGTCCCCATCTTTACTCAAATGCACAAAGGTGCACCATTTAACCTGAACCGTTACTATGACTTGAGATAAAAAAAAAAAAAATGAGTAAAATACTTTTGATTAACGGGCATCATTGAACGGTAATTGTCCAGGAATCACTAATTTCTAGAGAGAAGTATTCCATGATGTAACCCAAACCATGTATTTTCACCCAGTGCCATTTAATCAATTAAATATCATACTTACCCACCGTGATTTGGAATGTCATGAAACTCTGTTCTATATAAATTTATAAGAGATTGGCTCACCTCAGCATACTCAGGTGCTAATGCCAAAGCCTCCCTTGCGTCTTCAAGAGCTCCAGAATATTTACCCAATGCCAACCTTACAACTGACCTGAATGTCGGAAGAGTAAAGGTCTCAGACTTACTTATCATGGTTAGCACAGTGGAGATGAAACTCTTGCAGGACACCAAGGATTATGTTCAAAGTGAAATGGGGGAAAAACTATATTCTCTCATATTGAAGCCAGATTGCAAGCAAGGAAACAGCAACACCTGTTGCAAGCTCTCTCTTCTGGAAAAATAGGCAACAAAAAATGCATAGTATTTTAACGATGACCAAATGAAAAGACTAATGGTAAATCGAATTATAAAACCACTAAATGGAGCATAACAAAAAAATCCACGACCTTCCACAGGGCTACCATAATAAACCTTCGCAGAAATAATTTTAACTTTTAAGTTCGTGACAACATACCTGCATTTATATATTACATGTACACCACCTAATGGTTTTAATTCGATAGCCTGCACCAACCAAAAACTCGACAATATCAATCTCAATATAGCTTCTCAACTCCAATCTAACTACATAAAAAATCGAGCTCTTGATCACGAAACTACTACATGATTTTCTTTAAAAACAAAAGAAAAAATATAACTTTTCGCCTCAATGATAGTCAATAAAACAGTAAACTTCACATTCAGGCGCGAAAAGGATGGAGTGCCTGTGAGAGCAGAAGTTCAGCCTCAGTGAAATTCTGCTTCTCGAACTCAACCTCAGCTCTCTTCCTAAGCGCAAGCGCATCTAAACTCTTTTTGGCATCATAGGAATCCGAACCTTCTCCTGCGGAAATCAAACCCAACATGACCTCAGCCGCTCGAGCCGCAGTTCCGCAATGACCAACGATGACACCGTCCGGCAGGACCGCCAGGTTGGGACCAGCACCGCACTTGCCCAAACAGCCGCACGGTTTGACGGCGACATTCGGAGGCGCAAGACCAGAAAGGATTTCTAGGGTTTGAAAGGAGCCCTGTTTGCGGCAAGTCCGATTCGTGCATACCCGAATTTCTGGTTGCACCGCTTCAACGGAGAAAGGACGATCTCGAAGACGGCAACGACGACGTTTTGAAGGAGCAGACGGCGTGGTGATCAAAGGGAATGGAGAAGTGAGGAAGAAACCATGAAGTGCTTCCATAGATTGATGGAATCCCACTTCAAACCAAATCGTCGGGTTTCTTACCGCTAGGTCCCGCGCAATGGCGCCGCCTCTTGGGAGGAGGAGGGACTAACAAAGATATTTTTGCCGTGAGATTTTTTTTTTTTTTTTAACCAAAGATCAACATTTGACATGAGATACTGTCAATAAGTTTTGCTAAAAAATTAATGAGTATGAGTAGTATTAATTAATTAATAAGTTAAGTTAAAATTTTAATAAGTTATCATAATTAAATATGTAAAAGGTACTATCAACAAATTTTTTTAAAAAGTTAACAAGCAACATTAATGAATTAATAAGTGAGAGTTTTAATAAGTCACTGTAATTGAATGAATAAAAAGTTTCTCATCAAGTTTTATTAGTGAATTGATAAGTATCATTAGTAAATAATAAGTTAATATTTTTACAAGTCATCAAAATTAAATATATAGGAGTTGTGGTTAATAAGTTTTGCTAGTAGATTAACAAATATTATTGATAAAATAAAAAATAATGTTATTAACAAATTTAATTGGCCTTAATTTGGAAATTTAGTTGATGTTATATATATATATATATATATATTTAGCATTATATAATCAAGAAGTATTATTGTCTTAGTAGTTATTATCTTGGATTAAGAATCATTTTTGTTACTAAACTATATATGAAAAATCACAAATCTTCTTAAACTTAAATATAGTTCAATTATGTCCCTCAACTTTTAAAGATTTCACCCATTATCATCCTAATGTTAAAAATACTTAACATATATTAGTCATCAGTGAGTCTCACTATTTTTTAATATTTTTTATTAAATTAAGAGTCATTTTTATCTTTTAACTTCTATTTGGACAGTCATTTTTATCTCTCAACTCAAATAATTTATAATAAAAAATATTATAAAATATAATGTGGGGCTCACCATGGATGGAGACAGGAGGACTAACAAGGGGCCACATTTTAATTTTTTTAATAAAATATAAAAATGATATATTTTTAACCTTTTAAATTAGTATATTATAAAAGCCTTAAAAGTTGAGACACTAAATAAAATTTTCATTTTAATTTTACAGTAGTCTTCATTTTAAGTCTCTCATTTTTCTTCTCTCACGAATGTGAGATCGGGGCATTTTAGGTCCAACTTGTCCATCAAGATCCCATGCATCAAATTTTGTAAGGTTACAAATTCAGTGTTAATGGTGGCTTCATCTTTTATACCAAAAAGCATAGTCTCGTTCTCCTTGGTAGCCTCCGCTTCTTTGGTCACTGAATTCTGATAGGAGAGGGTTCTTTGTTCTCCTTCTTCCCTGTCTCCATAGCTCCCTAACAAGGGAAAATCTTCTGCAAAGGCAATTTTGGCCTTTCGAATCCTTTTCTAATAACTGAATTATCATTTTTTTAATTTTCACAAACATTCTTCTATTGAAAGTAATTTTGTTTGAAACATAATCGAATATTAAATGTAAACATCTCTTTCAACAGAAATTCAAATATGTTAAAATATTATTTTAGACAGCTTATGTATTTATATCCTTTAAAATTATTAAATAAATAAGTTTACAAAACTAAAGTAAACTGGAATAGAGGTCAATTTATTTTACTCTATGAAAAATTATCACTACTTTTTCTCCCATTTATTGAGAATATTTTGATCATTTTAAATTGTAATGTTTACCCCACTCTAATGCAACTCGATCATGGTAATTAAAATTAATGATATCAACTAATATTTATCATGGTAAAAAATATTAACCTTGTTTTAAAAAAGCATAATAATATTAAAAAAGGAATATACTTAATTTGAAAGTAAGTTTGCAAATTTAAAACTTTCAAAAGTTGGGATCCCCAATTATAAAAATACACTTAAAAATAAATCAAGACAAGAAATCCGCAAATGTCAATGGTCAAAGCCATTTGAAAGCATAAAACACCATTAAGACTTGAAAACAATTCAAAATAAGCCCACAAAATCATTTTAGCAAGTTCAAGAGAGATGACACTGCTAAAAAAAAAACTGTAAAGTGGTTTTTTTTAAGTTTGTTTTACAATTTTGACACAACTGTACCTATTTTATTTTTGAATTGACAGTCTTATGTTCCCGTGGAGATAAAATTGATTGGGGGATCAAGCGCAAATTGAAAGATCAAGAATTAAGAATTACGCACTACAGAATAATGCTTGTACATCATTGATCATAAAATGGAAGGTTCATAATCATACAACTTTGTGCTTTTTTTTGAAATTAAAAAAGAAAAAGAAGAAGAAGAAGAAGCTATCATAACTATACAACAATAAAGATTAAAAAAAGGTATAAAAGATAATTAAAATGTTAGGACTGAATGTCAACTATGAGTATTGAAATTCACAGGTTGCTTTAACTTTTGTCTTAAGAACTTGAATATATAATTAACATGAACAAAAATGGTAAATAGGCTTGAGAACTTGTACATTTGCTTTTCTATATTCCTTCATTTTCAATCTGAACTTGACCAGCAATTGGCTTGCCACGATCATAACCTCTGATAAATAGGCTTCAATCACTCTACAAAAACCATTAATGGTGCATGTGTTAGTAGGCTTTCGATGAACCAATTTAATTAATAATTCATTAGAACCACTCTAACATGTCTACAAATCCGCATGTTAAATATATATATATATATATATATAATGGTGTGTAAATGTAAATTTTGATTTCACCAGTTAAACCATACCTTGGTATACAATTATATGCTTCTTCAATTATGCTTATAAGTCATCGACGGCCACGACTTCTCATTGTTCTCTTTATTCCTCTTTTGTGCGGCACGTTCGAATGACGTTCTTCATATATATCAATAATTTGCAAAATAAAAGCAAAAAAAAATGATGTCAAAAATGGAGGAACATTTTTGAGGCTATATTTATAATGAATTAAATTATTATTAATTACTTATTTTATAATAGTTTCTGAATTGTCAAAGCCTATTTAGTTTTTTTAGCCTCCAGAAGTTAAAACAAACTTATTGCACGTTGATCATGATTGCACATTAATATTGAGAGAATTTGCCTCCAAATATTTTATATTTGACTCTTCTAAAATTGAGAAAATTTCCTAGACCAGGGAGAAAAAATGAAAAATAGGATAGTTAAGGTCGGCCCTACAAACAAGGTCATTTGATGGTCCAAGGATCAAAAGGGAGTCCTTTAATTTTTACAGAAAAGCTAAAATCCAATTGAGACATTGGGCCTATTTGATTTCACGTTTGAGAAGATTTTTTTTTTTGGTTTTGAAAAATAAAAAAAATTGAAAACATGTTTAATAATATGTTTTTGGTTATATGTTTTGAAAAAATATTAAATTTTTTCTGAAAAAATAAAAAAACAAAACATATCTTTTTTAATGCTTTATTACCTTTTGTTCAAAAAAAAAAAAGAATAGTCAACAACATCATGTTTCGATTAGTGGTAATTATATTGATAAAGAAACCATTTTTTCATGGGAGAATGACACTTTGGTTCCAGAATATTGAAGTAATGATAGTTAAGTTTTCAAACAAAATTCTTTGAAAAATAACTTAAAAATATCAATTCAAATAATTATAAATTCAGATGTTTCAATTGCAAATAAATATTTAAATAATAAATATAACTCTTAGAATATAGCACAAATTTCTGTTTGTAATTATTTAAATTGATATTTGTAATTTATTTTGTAAAAAAACTTTTCAAGAACTTAATTGTCATTAATTCAATCATTTGGGAGTTAACTGTCATTCTTCCTTTTTTCAACCTCCATTTCACCACTTCTAATTCAAACAGATTTTTTTTAAAAAAAATTGTTTCCAAAACTTGTTCTATATTAAAAAAAATACTCTATGGAATTATTTTAAAAATACAAAAATAGAGAATAGAATCAAACAAACCAATTATTACCTGCAACTGTTTGGAACCCTCCAAGAAGGGTGTGAATGTAATTTCTGATCTGGATTCAAAGTGATGTAGTGTCTCCAATCTTGAAGCAAAATCTTAAGATCAAAGATCTTGTTGTCCAAACCAACACAACAATTGGCATGCATGGTACAAACTTTGTTGAAATCCCTACTTGCTTGACAAAACCCTCCAAAATAAGTTGTGTCAAGGAACCTAATTATCATCTTCCTTATAGACACAAAGGAGTGGGTCTTGATCTTGTTAAGCACGTCTTGTTCATTTAGTTTTGGATCAATTTTTCTTGACTCAATCCACAACTTGTAGAAATCTTTGGTCTTATGATTAGATCTTACATACAAGAACCCCCCATTTGGCTCGTTTGTTGTGTCCATAGAGTTTCCATTAAAGCGATCACAAGCAATTTGGAAGTCTACATCTTTGAAAAACCTCTCAAACGGGTCTCTAAGCCACATTATATCTAAGTCCTGCATGGGAAGCAGTTTAAAAGTTAACTAAAGATAAGTTTAATCCTATAAAAAGACTTCAAATTAATGAGTTGATGTATATTCCTCTGTTTGATACTATAAGATATTTTTAATCAAATTACATCTTTATGAGTTAGTTAATTATCTTTAAAATTATACTCCTCTAATTCTATTTATAGAACAAAGAAAAAAGAAAAACATTGATCTTATTTATAGGGCACTTAATAATTTTTAATACTTCTATTTACATTTTTTTTCTTTATTAAATACTTTAAATACAAATACCAGTAATGAAAATTAAGAATATTTATTAAAAATAAAGATGAAATCTTATTAAATTTTAAAACAAAGTTAATGAGATTTAAAGTTTTTTTTAATTCTGGTAAAACATGCTGGAAGTAATTTATAAATAAGATTAGAGGGAATACAACCTTTTTATATTTACCCTAATTTAATAGGTAATTGTTTTCATTAGAAATCATTATTTTTTTTACCAATATTAGAAAACATTATCAATCACACCTCCTAATTAAGGGAAATTTTTGAAAAAAAATCATTAATTACACCTTAAAATACTCAACATGATTCATATTTTTTGCATCTTACATTAAACAAAAAATCTTATATCTTTGAATAGAGAAAGTATGTTAAGAATATATATATTCACTTATAACATATCATCAATGCATTCAATTAATTAATGTTTTTTAAGGCTGCAAAGATAAGAAGGAAAGGCATCCCAATGTTATCGAGCAAGACATCAATAACATGTTAGAAATACCAAGAAAGTCTTAATAATTTAAAGAATTATCATGTCTGAATTGCAAGCACTCCATATCTTTTCATTTTAGAGTTTGATCAAACTGACGCCAATTGGCAGGACAAGAAATAGACTCATAATGATAGATGGGGCCTACTATCATATGTCTATAATTTCTCTTTATTTTAAGAAATTTTAGTATTCGCCCAACAAATCAAAACTACATAGGACTTTAGGGAGACTATCTCTAGGTTGACTATATATGTTAAAGGGTAAAATTATCCTAAAATTTTTTCTTCAAGGCCATGAGACATTTTGATCTTTCTTTTGGACATTTTTATATTGAAAGCTTTTAAAATAAAGTATTTTAATCCTACCATTAACAATTACAAACATTGATTGTTAAATTAAAATTTAATTAAGGATATTTTTGTATTTCCTTCTATGATTAGTCTTCGATTTTATTCTTCCATAAGTTTTTAACTCTTTTTATTTTAACAAATAAAAACAAAGATTGAGAAACATAAAAATGAAGGAGGGTAAAATTATAAAATATGTTGATCAAATTTTAATTAACAATCAACATTTATAATTTTTAACAGTAGGATAAAATTTTCCAAAAAAAAAATCAGATTGTCAGGTGCCCCTGAAACAATAATTTCAGAATATTTTTGTCATTTAACATTTGTAACAATCGATGCATTAAAAATCAGATCAAACTAATACTTTAATGAATAATCAGTCCTTATTCCGTTGCTTTACCAAGAGCAGCATTATAAGAAACCAATCAAAGCCCGGCCAGACAAGTCAAACACGGCCAAACCATCCAAAAATTGGACAATTTATGACAAAAACCACCTCCTAAAATTTAAGGAAAGAAATTAAAAAAAAAAAAAGCCTTGAAATGAATTTTCTAACACGTCGACACCCAAACCACGTGGCCTCAGTTTTGTGGAACATTGGTCCGGTCCCTACTTATACTCAAATCAATTACCCCTGCCATTTCCCGTTCACACCTAGTCGATGTGGGATAAAAATGTCACATATGCTTGCCACTGGCATGCTACTTCTCTTTCACCACACGTACTAGCATCATTTTCTTTCTTTCCTATATCTTTGCTTATTTTTCTATTTATCACTAAGATATTTTTTTCTCGTAATGAAAACATGTTTTAAATATTTGTTATTCAAATTATATATCTACAATTTTTTTAAATTTTATCCTTTTAATTCAGTTGTAATTTAGCTCTCCAAAATACTTGATTACACGGGTTTTAAAAATGTCTTCAACAATAAAATGATGCATCATTAGTATTAATAAAATCTCATACCCTTACCTTTTGTGTTTTTCTTGTTATTAATTGACCAATGCCAAAATAGCCCCCTTGCATCATTTTGGATGTATATGTTCATTTTTAAATGTAAACAAGTCATATTTAAAACACATATCTAAATTAACCTAACTTGTAAACTACTCCTTTTGGATAATAATATAAAACATTAATAATGATAATTTACATATCTCTAATTGTACCCTCATCAATTAAATATCAAATATAAGTATTTTAATAATGACAATTAAAATTATAATGCATCATTTTTTGACAAAAAAGAGAGCAATAAATAAAGTAGGAATATAATTGAAAAATAATTATAACAACTACTCAAACTTTTATATTTTGAACCCAGCAAGGTTTGTAAAAAATGTTATATATTATGGTTTGAAGGGAGTAATTTAACATTAACTAAGAGTTCAATTTACATCTCTAAAAGAATTTGAGTCTTCATTTATTAATCATATTCCATTATAATTAATTTTCTATGTTTTTATATAATTTTTATCTTATAAAACAAAAAATATACCAATTTAATTATAACTGGTTCAATCACAATTTTATCACAATCACACCATTGAACTTTGAACCACATTGACTAATTTATGTTTATTTTTCCTAGATAACTGAAAATCTGTCCAAATGGCAATAATGATAAACCCGATTGATTCAGACAAAATCATTTTTCTCGTGAGAAAGAAAAAGTACCGTGAAGACGAAGCTGTAACCAAGGTGAAGAACAGAACTAAGGAACTCAGTTCTTCGCCAGATCATGTGGAGATATTTTGGGGTCATGAAGAACGTATCGCCACCATAGTCTCCTTGATCACCTTTCGTCTCCATCTGATAACAATGTGGATGCACCTCCAAGCAACGATTATAAGCCTTATGATCCCAAGTTACGAGCACCAGGTGATTCAACAGCTTCTGTGTGTTGTTCCCGATCAGAAAACTCTCCAGAAACAGGTCGAATATCGAACCCGGTTCAATCCACGCATCGTTCAGGGTCGCCAGTATCACTGTCTTGTTCTCCATCGTAGCTCTTCTTAGAACTCTCTCTAGCTTTGACTCCGTCACATTGTTTCCCTACCATGAGAAATAATGCAGGTCAATGGGGAACAGAAGGAATAATGCAGGTGTATAATTTTAACGCATGTGGAAGGGATTCGGAATAAGAATTAAGATACACACACAAGGGTGTGTGCGGGATCATTCTTAATTACAGGAAAATGTCTGAAATTATGGTGAAATTGACATTCATGCGTAATATTAATGTACGTGTAGGATTTTAAGAAAGGAGGGTGCACCAAAGTGTCCATCATCATGCAACAACAGGCGATCGATTTGTGCTGTTAAAGTTTATAGAGAGAGGTAGAGAGAGAATAAGAACAAGGAGACATCAATAATTAATGCAGTGGTCAAGATATTAAAATTAGATGATTAAAGTACTAATTTAAGAGTTGATAGTTAAAATATAATCGAAGCGAGATCAAACCGATCGTAAATAAAGGTTCAATCGGTCAAAATATTAGTTTACCAATTCCAGCTGGTTTCGGGAATTTTGTACTATGGCAGTGGTAGATGACAAAGCGAGTTAATGAAGGTGCAAAGGAGGGAGGGAGGGGAAGAACAAGAAGGCGTGCAAAAGGCCGTGGAATCAGCGTCATGACACGTCTAACCGTTTCATCTCTTTATTCCTTCTCTTTATCTCTCTCTCCCTCTCGCTCTCTAATTCAGATTTTCTTTTCCTCGTTTTTCATCATCAGGCAATCTACGACCAACAAACTTCAATCTCACTACTCTTGCTAGCTCTTTAATCGCTTTCGGTTCAGTTACATGTCAATTGACGTGCACCAAAACCTTGGATTCAAATCCTTTATTAAATCACATGAACAGGCACAAGGCAATCCCAGAATTCCCGGGGAAAGAGAGGGAGAGAGAGTCACCTTGGGTAATTGTGAGATGGAGAGAAAATCTGCAGGAGCGGAAGAGTTGAGCAGAAACACCACCAAGACAGACAGCCCCACCAGCACCATAGTGATCACTGACCGCCTTCCCACCACGACGGCGCTGCAGGAATCTCCCCAATTCCACGGCGTACTGGCCCCTCCGGCCAAGGATGGTTCCCGTAGGAGAGCTTCTGGTTCATCATCTTCTTCGCCGCCGGCACGTACATCTGCTTCACCTGTATACTCACCCATGCATACACTCAAACTAAGCTCGCCTCACAGCTTATACGACGAAGGTCAACTGTGCAGAGAAATGGAAGCCAAGTTACATGTGATGAAGACGAAGGAAGATCGAAGGAGGTGTTGTCTACTTCAAAGTATTTTTAGGATTATTCATCATCGTGAATAATCATAAAAATAGTTGTATTTATGCACTTGCTGCGTAACTTCTTTGAATTGATCAAAATTAAAGAGAACGTGCAGCATACATCATTTTCACTTGGCATTCTTGAATTAAGTAAACTAACAATAAACTATAAAGTGATGATTTACCAAGTCAGGAATTATTTGTGGGTTACATTTAATGAATTTTTCTTAAAATTACTTCCACCAGTTTTGCAGAAAAATAATAAAAAATAATAATAATACTACAGTACTTATAAGATGTGGGTCTCATCTGAGGAAGTAATAATGCAAGTGATGTTGATGTGGGTGGGAGGAAATGTGGAAGATTCTTGCGTCCCAACTATTATTTTGTCCCAATTCTCGCAACTTGGTTTTTTTTTTTCCCCCAAATTCTCCACTCATATGACACGAGCACCCCAAAAACGCCCATCATATTATTATTTTACAAACTTTAATAATTTACGCGTGTGTTTGGATAGACAAAAAAAATCAATTTTGCAGCCCATAATCAATTTTTTGATTGAAATTATCCAAACACTAGAAAAATGCAATAATCGATTAAAGAGGTAAAACGCGCGTTAATCCATAATCTCCTTAAACCAGCTTCAGCTTAAAATCTTTTTGCCGTTATTCACGTGCTCTCTCTCTGTGAAAGCTGAAAACCCATGTTGCCCTTCACGTGCTTTCTCTCTCTTCTTTCTGATCTTCATTTGTCTCATTTCAGTTGCAACTTTCTCATTTTTGATCTCCTCTCTTGTTCGGTCTCACCAGTTGGTCCTCACGGTGGTGCCGCCTCTTTGCTGTTGTCCACCCACCCCCAACTTAGTCATCGTCCACCGTCTCACCGTCGTGCGGTCTCTGCCGTCGTCTACCCACCTCTAACAATTGTGCCGTCTCACAGTCAGTTCTCACAGAGGCAACGATCTTTCGGCCATCCGCCAACTCTGTGTAGATTTGTGGTCCTCGTGGCTTCGCCTCCTCTGTCTGCCGTCTCTGAGTTACTTCTAGTGGCGGTGATCTCCTGCCATAGTCAAGGAAGGCAGTAAGCTTTATCTATACTCTCTTGCCTCGATCTACTCGTGGTCCTCCCTCCGTCACTGATTTGCTTGTGGTCCTCTTTAGTCTGTCCAGCTCAGAGGTAAATGATCTTCTCTAACCTTCTTTTGGACGATCTTGGTTAGGTTTGATCTTGGTCAGACCCTGTTTCCCTCTTCACTCTGATCTATGCATGGATGAATTTGTTCTCACGATTGCTGGCTTAGTTTTGTGTGGTTTGAACCACTTACAACTCTTGAACATTTACAAATAATAATGTGGGTGAAAGTTGATTTTTGATGCTGTTTTCTGTGTTAGTTTTGTGCCTAGTCAAACTCTATGCTGAATATGGGAGAACTGTTAAAAGTTAATTTTTTAGCTATTGAAACCTGATTTTAGTCAAAATCTTATACATTTGCAAATTGTGAGAAAGCTGTTGAAAGTTGGTTTTGTGCCTAATCGAACTCTTTGCTGGTTTTGGTCTGTGTGATCACTGATTACTGGAGCTTTATTCTTAAACAATATGTTTTGCATATATAGGGGTCATTTAGTCAAACTTTTTACTGTGTGAGTCTCTATTGAATTTGGCTCCTCTGAAAATTGCTAAGTTTTTGTTATGTAATATTTTAATCACAATTCCTATAATTAACATGTTAGTTTTTTATATAGTATAATGAGTAACAATAAGTCAAAAGCTTCATGAGATCAAAGAAACACTAGAATATTTATTGACATTTGTTTGGACTAAGCTCGAAAATTGCAAAGAAATGGTGGTAGTTTTACCAAACAAGGATGGCTCAGCATAATTTCTACTTTCAATGAGAGAACTGGACAGAAATATGACAGACAACAATTCAAGAATAAGTGGGATAATATGAGAAAAGAGTGGGTACTGTGGGATAAGTTGGTTTCAAGTGAGACAGGATTGCAAACAATACTATGGATGCTTCAGATGATTGGTGGGAGAAGAAGATATTGGTATGATGTTATTATGTGAGGCTTTATATTTATTTTATTTATTTATGTATTCTGTAATATTATTGATAATTTATGTGCAGGAAAATCCATTATACGGGAAATTCAAACATAAAGGATTACCATTTGCCAATGAATTAACCGAGTTGTTCCAAGGTACTATCGCCAATGGACCTAGAGCATGGGCATCTTTAAGTGGAGTTTTGCCTAACATTTACAATAAGAATGAAGGTGAGGATGAAGAGGTGTATCGGCCAAATATGGCAAATGAGGGTATTGATTTGGAGGAAGGTTCAAGAGATAGTGATGAGATCTTAGGAACTACTAGAGTAAGCGATGAATTTAATAGAGTAGTTCTAAATGTTTCTCAAGAAACCTTAAGTGGAGGCAGTGGTAAAAGGAAGAGGGGCGAAAGCACTAACAGTAGAAAGAAGAACAAGTTATCTAGTACAAGTTAAATAGCAGATGCAATGAGTGTGATAGCTCAAACAACAAAGGAAGAATCTCAACAGGCTAAGGAAACATCAATTCCTAAAGTCATGTCTATAGTCAAACAATGGGAAGAAGTTGCAATTGACAAACATTGGGTTTCATGATGCATGTCACTCTTCATGTCCCAAGAGGCTAGGGTGATGTTTTTGACAATGAAGGATGATAAACAAAGTGTTTTAGAGTGGTTGAGATATGAATGTTACAAAAATGGTTGATTATTAGAGTTTTAAAACTTATTATGAGTATATGATCTTACTTAAAGAGTAGTCTAACATGTTTGTATTATATTGTTGAATTTGACTTATGTAACCTCTTGAACTACTTATGTACTTTTTATATATGGTAATTAAGTATTACAATGTTGTGGAAAAGTTATTGGTATTTCTATAGATGATTTATTTAGATGTATCTACAATTGAAATTAGGTGCACGTATTATTTATGTGTTTGGCTACAGATAGCAAGACATATGGAAGAGTCGTCTAAAAAAAGGCTAAAGAGAGCCCAAAAAGTTAGTGCTCTCATTGGGTTGTATGCAACAAAACATTTATGCAAAGAGCCACAAAGAAATAGTGAATATACAGGTCATTTGTGAGTGAATGAAATTTTAAAAGGACACTCAGTTCATTGTTATGAAATGTTTAGAATGGAACCACATTCATTCCATCAATTATACAGTGAATTAACACAGCATGGATTGAAGAATACTAGGTAAATGAGAGTACAAGAGATGGTTGCAATTTTTTTAAATACAATTGGACATGGGTTGGGAAATAGGATGGCACAAGAAAGATTTTAACATTTAGGAGAAACTATTCACAGACATTTTCATGAAGTTTTAATAGCTTGCTCGAAACTTGCAATGAAATATATCAAACCACAAGACAGGTCCTTTCGCTACGTATCAAAGAAAATAGAAAATGATAAGCAATATTAGCCATTCTTTAAAAATGCCATTGGAGCAATTGATGGCACACATATTCCATGTGTAGTCCCTGCTAGTGAAAAATCAAAATATATTGGAAGAAAAGGAATCCTTATGCAAAATGTAATGGCTGTGTGTGATTGGGACATGTGCTTTACTTTTGTCTTGGCTGGATGGGAGGGCACTGCACATGATGCTCGCATTTTTCAACATGCCTTGACAACTCAATCCATGAACTTTTCACATCCGCCTTCAGGTATATTTGTTTGTTCAATTTATTTGTGTTAGACTTTCCAGCTTACAGGCATTAATAGTAATCTTTTTTTTACAAGGTAAATATTATTTGGTAGATGCTAGCTATCCAACACCAAATGGATATCTTGGTTTGTATAGACGAGAATGCTACCATCTTCCTGATTTTAGAAGATCAACTAGATTTGTAAATAATAACGAGGTCTTTAATTATTTTCATTTAAGTTTACGGTGCACAATAGAAAGAACATTTGGAGTTTGGAAGAATAGGTTTGCAATTTTACGCAACATGCCTAGCTATGACTATGATATACAAGTTCAAATCATTGCTGCATCAATGACGATACATAATTTCATTAGAAGACACTCTAACTCTGATGTTGATTTTATGCGTCATGAGAGGGAAGATCAGGAAGACCATGAGGATTAAGAAGACCATGATGTTGATGAATATTCATTCATGATATCTTCTTCATCAGTTATGACTAGTATTCGTGATATCATTAAGGACTAACTTGTATATTATCATCTTCATTAATTGTTGTAAAATTACTGTTTTATATTTAAGAATTTAATTTTCTTGTCTTTTATTGAATTTATTTTAAGTAAGATATATTTAGTTATTTATTTAAATAACTTTAAATGTTAATATTAATATAATTTAAATTTTTAATTAATTATATATGTAGTTTAAACAATATATTTTACTTCTTAAATAAAATGTAACAACTTTAATACTATTAGATACAAATTTATCAATAATTTAATTTAAAAAGCAATGTCCTTTATGGTAATTTATACAGCTAAAATTGATTCTAAAAAAATTATCCAAACATCTTCAGTTCTGTTAAAATCAATTTTAAAAAAACAAAATCCAAACAGATTGTGTTCTAGCATAATCAATTATGATTAAAATCTACCACTTAATCAATTATTTTCATAATCTATTATACCCAACCGAAATTCAAGCAGGCACTACATCACCTTGAATTTTAATGTATAATTAATTTAACAGCAAAAAATTCAAATGTACCCCATGTGTTATTTAATTATTTATAAAATTAAGAGAGAATGATTTTTTAATCTTATTTGTAAGATATATTATTGACTTTTTATTAAAAAAAGTTCTTTTATCCTTTATTAAATGTCAATGGGAAAAAGTACTCCATTTGTCTCAATTTATAAAACATTTTGGGAGGTGATTCAATGTTTTAAAATATAAAACACATTAACAAAATTAGGTTTCATTAATTAAACTCGTTCCAATATTACTCTTTCCTTCTTATTACTTCTTCTTGCTCTTATTTATAGGGTAGATAGAGAAAACTTTTTAATCTTGTTTATAAGTTACCTCATTAAATTTTTGACATAAGTTTTTTTTATCCTTCATT